AGGTAAAAGAATTCAAAGGGCAGTAGAAATAAAAATAATTAGAAAGGATAGCAATTTTGAACTTCTGCAGCGCTCAGGATGGTCAATTATTAGAAATTTGACTCCGATTTAAGGCACTTTGTACCAGTATAGGTAACATGAAATGTATTTTGTGGTAGGATCTTGAATTATTTAGGTTCCTCTATTGCCCTTTCATCAGGCTCTTTATTGTTCTTTTGAAAGCTTCCCCCCCTCTATCTCCTTCCTTGTTCTGGGAGGTATTTCATTGGTGACTTTTCTGCAATGGGATTGTAGCGCAGCACTTTGAAGTGATACTTTTGTTGAATATTTTAGCAAGCGTCTTTTTTTAATACATGATTGTTGCGGAGGTCCAGCTCTTTGGCATTCTGCCTATTCCTAGCAAAATGATTAAGCGTCTTAGCTTGAAAAGACTTTGAAAAGAGATGGATGTTTGTATGTGTGTGGTAAATATGCTTGTGGTATGTCAGTGGGAAAAATGGTATTTGTAGTGTATCTGGAAGTAGCTTTGCACTGAATATTCCGCAAAATGCAAATTTCTCTATTAGTCAAGAAGCTTTCCCAAATGCCATATATAAACAGAACTATTGCTGAATTAGACATCAGGTTTCTGTGTGTGTGTGCGTGTGTGTTGTTTTTGTCTGGAGCTTGGTTTCCTCACCTAGTAGGAGAAAGGGTGTATATCATCGGGGTTTTTTTTGTCAGTTACTATTGCTAAACAGACTTGACAAAAACATCAGACTAAATGATCTGTTGTCTCTTTTGACCTTAGCAGTAGTGCTTTCCTCTTTGCCTTGCAAAGAAGCTTTTCCCTATGGACATACCCGTCAGCTTCTGTAAGGTAAAAGGAAGTAAAAGCTGATCTGAAGTTATTTTTGTTTGCTAGAGGACATGTGTAAATGGTTAGGAACAAATATTATGGGAAGTAAATCAGTGTTTGATGACTTGAAGTTCTTTCCCGTGCTTCCTTACCCAGGTGGACATGCTGCGTTTCTTACCTCCGCATTCTCAAGCACTTTGCAGGTCTCCTAGGGTGTTTCAATGGACTGGCACAGAGAAGAAATGACTTGATTAAAACTGCGTAGAATATTATGGATAAATGACTTTAAAAAAAAAAAAAGATTTAAAAAAAAAAAAAAAGACTTCCAGACTATTATTAATTTCATAGAGCAGCAGTGGTGCTAGTTGGCTGTTCAGGTAGCCAGTTCTTTTACTTACTATTGGGATGTGTGTGTGCTTTTTCAAGACAAGGCAATGGCACATTAATTGGATTTTTTTTCTTTTATGAAGTAAGTCTGGCTAGGCTGCACTAGCTTGGATTAAATACAAGCAAAAATAAAACTCGCATTGGTTCAGGAAGTTTGTTTTGTGGTTCTTTGGAAAAGAACATTCTGTCCCCTCTTTACAAAACCAATACAAACAGTCTTTTGGCACAGATACTGTTCTTTGTAGATACCTTACTTTAAATTATCTCCTGGTCATTTTGCAAGATTAAGTATCACAGTTCCTATTTCCTGGATACGTTCTGTCTTGTGTAATTGTGCTTTCCCTTTATAAGTCACATCTGCAGATTTAGATGGGTAATATAATTAAATGTTCTAAACACTATTTGAGACTACTGATCAAAAAATTGAACGATATAAATGGGTCTGTAAATTGTAGTATAGGAAGCAATGTTTATAAAATAGTACTTACTCAGAAGTGATTATATCTGATTGTAGAAGTGATCATGTAAATATGGCTTGTACGGTTATTGATGTTACTGGAGAAGAGCTACAGAAGTACAGTGTAGCAGTAAAACATCCATGATTATAAAGAGTATTTCTTCATCTGGTAGCTCGAGAATGGCATGCGAGCTTTGTGGCAAGATATTCTTTTCCTTTTTGTTTTAAATTTTTTTAGGGATATTATTAAGCTACTTTGGCTTACTGTCTAAAGGAGTAGTGAGGGCAATGCATTTCATGTGAGTGCATTAGCCATTTCTCGCGTGTGAGAATTTGGCGTGAGCTTCTGGCATTAGGAATAAGCGCAGGGAATGAAACGTGTGCTGTGCAACATTAATCAAACAGGGAGAAATCTCTAGTGCCCTCTTTTGATAACCTGTTCAATGGAAGCAATTAGAGGGGATCTTGAGTGATGTTAATAGGTTATTGGACTGATTCTGTGAGTGGCCTTAACACCTATTGACTGGAGCTCTTAACCAGAGGGGAAACGAGAGTTACCTTGTACCTTGTAGGAGGCAGTCCTACTTGTAGTAAGTAGTATTCCCAGAGGGTGATAAAAGCAGACATACGTGCTATCTGAATAAATCTCTGCTGTAACAACTTTGAAGTGAGGTGAAGGTTTGCACGCCTATTAGGAAATAATTTGTGAGAAAAAGCTATATTAAAAAAACTTTCCGACTTTCCACTTCCGTACATTTAAATACAAAAAGTAAAATACTGATCGCCATGTTTCTTATCTTTCTAGCAAAGCCTTTTTCCTAATAATTAAGAAGGCATCAATTTTTCTAATTGATGCCAAATCCCATCTGAGCCACCCACGCAATTATTTCACCCTTCCCTCCACCTCCCATCACTATCTGATATTTTGTTTGCACAGTCATTATTCATTAACTGTATTCATGTCCAGGGTTGCAAACAGTGAATTCGCATTAGCAAGGAGGAGCTCTGAGACTAAGCAGTGAAATCTGTGGGTGTTTTTCTTCTATTTTTCATTGGTTTCAAAGCAGAATCTCAACATCTGTCACAAATATTGGAGCTGAGGAGCTTTAAAATAATGATTACATGGAGCTTTAAAATAATGATTACACTAATATTTGATGCTTTCTTTTCTTAGCAGAATTCTTTAATTCCTCCACATTGCTCAATACAATTGAATTCTATGTAAAAGGCTACAGAGACCACAAATGACTACTGGAAAAGAGGTGTAGTCTTTTTTTGTCTTTTTAATAAATATATATATTACAGCTGAGCCTATTGTCCTGTCTCAGAGCTTTATAGATTAGCCTGTTTGGTTTGGAGGTAACTTTCGACTGTATCCCCTTTTCTTCTTTGCCATATCCTCGGGTGGCTGAATCTGTCCTCTTGCTTTTTTGTTTGAGAGACACACATGCACGCAAAGGTCTCCCCATGATTTTTCTGGGGGCTCTTTTGGTACGTTGCTTTTTCGGTTTGGTCCTGGCTCTTCTGAAATCAACAGCAACCCTCCTTTATTGACTTAACTGTACTGGCAGGCATTTAATGTGCTGGTAATGGTACCTGGCTCTCACAGTGCTTTTCACCATTTGCACTCGTATTTTATTAAGAAGGTTGATACCATTATCCATATTTTGCAAGGCAGAAAATGGGCACAGAGAGGTGAAACGTCTTGCCCGAGGGCCGTGAACACATGCTAGTGGCTGGGAAATGATATTTCAATGGGAAGTAGTCCATGCTGCCTTGGTATGTTGTGCCAACATATCAGAATTTCCTTCAGCTTAAGTTTCCTGGTGAATAAACCATTAATGGCCTACTTTCTCGTACTATATTGGAATTCTAAGTTTTTAGTCACCAGAAAAACCACCTCTGTAATCCGATTGTGTTAGTAAGCAACTTGGTAAGGTTCAATATACATAGTAGCATAATATACCACTTCATAAATGAACATGCAACTACCAGATCAATTCCGATGGACTGACTTGACCTATTGCTGCTTACTCTTTTACTGTATTGACTTGTTACTGCTTCTGCCTAATTCTCTGCTTGCTCTCTGTTATATCAAATTGATCTGTATTTTTAAATTATTTTTAACTGGATTTATTTTTAAATGGAAAACATCACTGCAGGGTTGGCTCTGTAAGGGAGGGTGGTGGTTGGAACCTCTTACAGAAGTCAGAGTTGGGATAATATCAAGATGATGCCCCAAAGAGTGTAAATAATAAGAACATACAATTGTAATTAGGGCAGATTTAGTAAAATGTGAAAGATTGGTCAGCCTCTGGGATGGTCCAGTTAAAGGCAGTAAGCGACTTGCAGCTATGACTGGGTCAGAGTGAAGTGTTGGATATGACTAAAGAAATGAAGCAGAAAAGGATGTTGAGGAGGTGGACTAAGCTTGTCTGAAATATTGAATGTCAGATTCAAAGCTGATGGATAGCAAACATTTGGGGAGAAAATAGGGGAATCCTGTAATCGTCCCTTTCAAAAAAAGCTACAGCATTTGCTCTCTCTTTCTCCTGCCTCTCAGCTTGTTTTTTTGTATTATTCCCCCTTTCCTGCATCCTCCTTCCCCATACGCTCCATCCGCTCCAACCCAGCCAGCGTGGAGGGAGGGAGTGTGTGTCTGCAACTGCCTCTGGTTTCTGCCAGGATGAGCGCGTGTGGTGCCATCTCCTGTTGGGGTTGGGTGGCCGTGGCACGTGGATGCTTGCTCTACACCGCCTGCCTCCACAGTGACAGAACATGTTTTTTCCCCCTCAATGGAGTCCTCTATGTATAGCCCGAAACTGTTGGAGGAAACGCATATTGGTAGGCAGCTTGGTGAGCAACGGCTGCTCATCCCGGTTGGAGGGATTATGGTCTCTCTGCGGATTCCCACTAATCTGGGGCAGACTCAGCCATAAGGGATTTTGTTCCCTTTGGGTTCGCTGCCTTCTCGCCTCTGCTGAGCGCATCAGCTCCCTCCACCGCTTTATAAACTTAACCACTACACCCTTGAGGAGAGACCCAGCCCAAAGCTGTGTTTGAAATCACAGGTTGGATATGGATTATCTGGACTGTGAGGCTCCTGTCAGCTGTGTGAATGAATTCTTTTTGATACCATTGGTATTTTAGGAAGTTCACCTCTGGAAGCGGCAGATAACTCTAGCCAGAAATATCTTTCTCCCTTATGCTAAGGGGAAATCAGATTTTAAAAAGTGAGTCCTTAGTAAGTCTAACTGGCGGCATTCAGTGGAATTGCAAAGCTGAACCTTTTTCTTTTCTGTTTTTTCCAGTGAAAAATTTCCTTTTGGGCAGCCCCCTTCAAAGTGCCTCTGGAGAGGAGATGTCAGCCACTTGAGCTCGCGGATCAAGCAGTGGAAGGGACGGCATCTACCAAGGCTGCGGTTCCCATCCCAGGCACATGGCATCTGCATAAGTGGTTACTGGTGAGTGGCATGTGAACGCCACTGCTCCTTTCTCCCTTGCTCACCCTTGAATAACTGACGAGTTCTAGCAAACTGCAGTTTTTGGGATACAAAGATTTGATTGCCTTGCTTGTTTTTCCAGGAGGGTGACTGACTAGCTTAGAGAAAAGGGGGCTGGTCCAGGTTACCAGATAATCTTAGCAAATCCTTCCTATTTGTTTGTATGTTTATGGATTTTTTTTCTTTCCCCTCCCTCTCCCAAATGAGTAACTTCCTGGTGAGGCCAGGCTTTCAATCTGGAGCCATAGGTATGTTGCGCTAGACAGTATCAGAGAGCTTTTTTTAATCAGAGGAGGTTTTATACTGTGTGCTTTAACACTTCATGGTCTGAAAATACAAGCTGTGGGGCTCTGATAACAGCAGTAGCAACTGGCTGCTATCAGCATGGGGATGATTAAAAATGACTGTGTGTGCATGCATGCACTTATGCACCCTCTCTCCAGCTGAACAGAAAATGAAACTCTCCAAAGCCTTTTATGTAGCTGTGTGCCTTTTTTTTTTTTTAATCTCCACGTGGGTGTGTGCAGACAAACTTCATGGCCAACTGCCTTTTGAAGATGCTTTGTAAAGAAAAAAGTATGTTTATTTTGACCACTGATGTCTGTCTTCAATTCAATAATAGTTATATCCCCTCTGCAAAAGGTAACGGCTAGCAATTTTTTTTGGAGGGGAGGGGTGATTTCCAGTCAATTTCTCCCATCTGTAGGTTCCTCCCCCCCCACCCCCCGATAAAATAATAGCAATCTGCTTCTTCCAGCAGCTGAGGCTCTGCAATTCTGTGTGAGCAAATGTGTGGAGTGCTGCCTTGCACCTCTTAACACCCTGCTTTGCTTAAGGTGCTACCATGCTGGGCTGACTGCTTGTTGTCTCAGTAGTGTTGCACCAAGGAATTATTATTGATGAGATGCAGCCTGGTCTATAAAGCACACATTCACTATTAAAAACAAAAATATGTGCCCTTAGCTATAGCTAATCATTTAAACACCTTTGTGCAGCTTAGTTGGGGTAAAGTAGACGCTGTATATGTGGATGGAGTCTCCCTAAAACATCAGTACGATACAACTTGGCATCAGATTTGAATCTTTTTATGAATATCAGATTTCACAATTGGGGCTTTAAGCAAAAACACTTAAAGTTATCTTCTTGAGAAGATAAAAGGAGCGCCTTGTAGGGGTGGGTATGAGAAGGGAAAGATAAGCCCAGGGCTCTTGTCCAAGTTCCTCGGATTTTTAACTCATTGTTAACAGTATGTGTTAGTGCATTTGGACAAAAGCTTGAAGGTCGATACAGCACAGAGCTGTACCTGCAAACTTGATTGGCAGCAGAGGTTTATAATTTTTCAGGCTAGTGTAATTCTGGCTTTAGGCTAGAAGAGGCAAAGACTGAACAAGGAATTTGATGACGTATTTCAAGGTTCAATAATCTATTAAACCAGGCTAAAACCAGTATGTTTTAAATAATGGAAAGTTTGGAATACCTAATTTTGCACTATGGTAAAGCGTCTATTGTGTTTTTGCAAGTTGCAAGATAACTGCCCTTAAATTCACATCATTGGTTTACCACTGTTCTTCCAGCTTCAGTTCAAGCACAGCAGCTGCTCTCTTGAGGATTGCTTGGAGGTATATGCAGTCGCTTTACACCACCGCAGAACTCTGAACCCCAGAGCCTAAAGAGTCTAACAACTCCATTGCTAACTCCGGCATCTTCTGAGGAAAAAGTTGTTAAAATTGACACAATTAATTTTTTGGGGTGGATAGAAATAGAGAAAGCAAGGTAGTAATTAAGCAGTGTGTTTTTATGTAAAACTCTTATCTCTTGGGTAAGTGAGTGTTTTCTTACCAGTAAGTATTTTCAATTACTAGAAGTTAGAGACCACAGGCTTTTACAGAAGCCTCATCCTTTCATGTAGATAAAATTATTCTCCTACAGCTCAATGGAAGTATGCCTGTGTCTTGGTCAGGAAGGTCCCAGATTCAAAGCTGCTTGCTCACTGTCATACCTGTGCTGGCAGGCTGTCTCATAACTCTGAATGCCAGCATGGAGGGAGCAGGAAAAAACTCTTTGCTTGCTTTTAGTTGGGTGGGAAAGTATCTCTTGATTGTATGCAGAGAATTCTTTTGCAAACCAAGATCTTCAGGAGGGTGCACTTGAAAATTCCTTGTACAAATAAAGATTGAGTTGGCCAACGCCTGTTTATCATGTCAAGTAGTGATTGTGCTGGCCTGTGACGTAGGTCGCCTTGGGTGATGAATATGCCCATTTTAATAGGTTTGTCTTCCCCCATTGTCCTGTCCTTACTCACTTACAAATGTGCGTGAGTTCAAATGGAGTTCTATTTCTGAAAGAGCTGAGTAATACCATGGGCATGGACCTTCAAGCGCACCATACCTAGAGATCACCCTGCAGCTTGAGTTAGACGGTGTTTTGCACTTTGCTTTAAATCCTGCTCTATTCCCCTTCGCTACTTGCAAACGCAATGTGTTCTTTTGAAATAGCAGTTTTAAACTTTATCTGTAACCTGAATTCTCACGTGCAGAATTGTTTGCTGTTTTTGGCATGTACATAGTGATTTTCCTTAATTATAGGCATCCCTTGGTGTCAGGGCAGCGTTATATCGAAGTGATTGGCTGCTGCAAGTATTTTAGAATCAGGTAAATGAACTTGCTCCCCCATGTCACCTCACGAAATTGCAAACTATTGTAAGTCTGCAAGTGACTGATCAGCTATCAATTAATATTTTGAGCCTTAAGAAAAGATTAGCTTAAACGGGGGATTTAAACAAAAAAGCAAACCAAGACATGCTCTTTTTTGCATAAGTTTTTCTTTGATCCGTGGAGTTGCTAGAGCTAGATGAGTATTTCTGGTGGTTTCATTATAGCAAAATCATTATAGCAAAATCTAACCTTCTTTCTTGATGGGAGTAAATGGATTTAACCTCTAAGAATTATTGTTATCTGCTCCTATCACCTCGGTTTAGCATCTAAAAAATAAAAATTCTTTAAAGCCATTGTTTTCTAATTCCGTGTTTCAAAATGCTTGATTGCTCTATCTGTTAAATCCAAAAGATAGAGAGGGCGTTCTCACACCGAGATGTCCGAGACCTAGCTGCTTGCGTGGAGGATTTGCCTTTGGTACAGCACTGAAGTCTGGGTGTTAGGAGCACTGTCATTACATGTGGTGTGGGTGCTGGTGCGCACGTGCCTGGCTCTGCGGGCTGAGGATCGGTGTCGCAAGCGAGAGCCGCGTTGCTAGCAGAGTGTCGACAGCTTGTCACTGCAGACAGTGGCTTTCCTTCTGGTTTGGAGCTGCGGAGGCTGAGAAAGGATCGTAATCTCTTCAGTGACTCGAGGACTGATTTTTTTTTTTTTTTTTTTTTTAGCCTGTTCTTTCCAGATTAAGAGCGAGAAGAGACACCGTTCTTTTGATTTGCGCTGAATTCACAGTTATTTTACTGTCTCAGCCAAGTTTTCTCAGCCTATCCAAAATCATTAAGCTCCTGTGGAGTGAAAGAGCAGGTGAAGAGGAGGAGTGGTGGGGGAGAAATAGGAGGGAAGGAACGGGACAGACTTTCATACAGGCAATGGTCTACTGTCTGCAGTAGCTAAACAGGCTTGTTTGTTGTTTGTAGGTAGGGAGTTTATTTCGCAGAAACTATTCCTAGTATATAGGGAAGGGTGCAGGGAAGGTGGGGCAAGCGATGGTATGTATATGTAATGAAATATGGCGTTTGCCCAGCCCATAGCTAGGAAGACTTCTAAATTAGTCACTTCTTCTAGTGTCCTTGTTGACTCGAGGTATAGAAGAATCTTTTTATTGAATGAGGAAGTCCGTCCTCTGCTCGGGGTGTGCATGCTGGGCTGAGGAAAATTAAATTAGCAAATGAGATCCAACTACATGAAAACAAGCAAACAAGGCTCCTGTTGGGTGCAGGCGGAGAGCACCCTTCCTCTGCTTTCGTCAGAAGACGGGGACTGTTTGGCTTGGCCTCCGCCTCTGTTTGGAGAGGTTGCTGTGGTGATGAATAGCCCTCGCGGAGGGTGTGTGAGCCCCGTGCGTGCCCGCACCGGGCTTATTTCTTGCATGTAAAACAATAGTGCTGATCACACGGCTTTTCACCCCGGTCACAGAGCGTGCGCTCCGGCCGCGGTCTCCCGTTTCCCCCAAAATGAGTTAACAGAACCGCTGCCTTGCAGGTAGTTCTCGACACGATCTTGGTCGGCTGAAGCACTTGCTCGCGCGACTTTGACGCCAGCCAGCAGGAGTCGGGGTGGTCCGTCGCGCGGAGCGGGAGCCGCTGCTGCGTTTGCTTGCCCAAGCTTGTGGTGCCGAGCTTTGTCGCGCTACCTGGACCTGAGCAAGGGTAGTGGATAGGGAAATATACTGACAAGGGTACTCTGTAAAAGGAAAAAAGGGAAGTACTAGTTAAATGAGATTTCTCCCTCCCCCGTCATAATAGTATTGCAAATAATACTTTAATATATATATACAGAGAGAGAGAGCAAAAAAAAAAAAAAACCTGTCCATGGGTTAGTATTGTTTCTTCCTAACCTCCATTTATCGATAAATATTACAATAAATAGAAGTGTGCTACAGCTGAAAATAGATAAGTTTTTCGTATTGAGATATGAGAAGCTAATCTAACAACTGCATACTGATGCAAAAACAAGCTTAAATATATATGAATATTTTGCATTTTTGAGATGTGCTTTAAAGCACTGGTGAAGTCTCAGTGGTAGAAGTATAGTTGGAAGGTACAGTTGTCTGAAGGTGAGTTATAAATATCACTTCTACGTGGTGAATTGCCTTCAAGAAAGTCTTGGAAATTCTATTCATTTTCAATTTCTAATACTCCTCCTAGGGTGAGAAGTAAAGAATAACAAGCAAGACACTAGTGAAATATTATGCTTTTCAGCAAAATACAAATCCCACTTTTCTCATCTGTACTCTCCCCCCTCTAGAAA